TCATGGTATCATGAGCCATTAGGGAAAAACTAGTTCCCATGGAAACTTTACCTCCTTCCTCCTCCTCCTCCTCCTCCTCCGCTGTTCAAACCGAAACCATCAGCCCCTCCACCACAATACCGCCGAACCTCAAGTTTCTTGTATCTAATATCAAGAATCTTGCCCCACACCATCTCACGCCGGACAACTATCATATCTGGCGGGTTCAGCTGCTCCAACACTTCACGACAAATGGATTTGCTAGTCATCTTCTTGGCACCATTCCTCCACCTCTCGACACGTCTTCCACAGCTTATGCGCAATGGTTCATCATAGATAGCAATCTTCTTCTGCATTATTTTCAATTGTATCTCAATCGATTCTACCCTACATACTCACCTCCACCACCGCTCACGAGGCTTGGATGGTTCTTGAAAAACGTCTTCAACCAACTAGCCACTCCCATGTTATTCAGCTCAAGAATGAGCTCTATCGAACTCAGATGAAAGATCTCTCGGTTCAACAGTACCTCACCCGCATCAAGACAATCGTGGATAATATTTCAGCTTCCGGCTCCAAGATTGAATCTGAAGACATCATGCTTCACATTCTCAATGGCTTACCTCCAACTTATAACTCTTTTAAATCTACTATCCGTAACTCTCTATTACCCATTGATCTTGATACTTTTTATGCACTTTTATGCAACGAAGAGATACATCTTCATCAAGAAACTCTGCAAGATCAGCCCGGTAATGTATCCCCTGCGGCCCTCTATGCTGCTCCTCTCAACTCATCTCGGCCTCGCAACAGCAACAATCGACGATACACCAAACCGAAGCCTTCCTCCCAACCGGCTCCGGTCACTCAGCTCAATTCCTCAGGACCACAGCAACAGAACCGTCCAACTTGCCATATCTGTGGAAAACTAGGCCATATCGCACTCAATTGTTGGCACCGCAACAATCCCAAGTATGCTCCTACGGATACACGCCAGCCTCGGGCTATGTTCGCGAATCCAGCAGCACAGGTCAATCAAGATTGGATTCTTGACTCCGGTGCCTCCGCCCATCTAACGCCGGATGCTAATCATCTCTACTATCCTTCCTCCTACCAAGGTTTGGACACGGTCTCGACCGCAAATGGTAACGCTCTTCCTATCTCCAACTCCGGTCAAGGACTTCTTCCCTTACCGGACACGACTCGTAAGTTGAAACTTAACAACTCTTACATGTTCGCTCTCTTACGCATAACTTGTTATCAGTTTCCAAACTTACCTCAGATAATTATGTTTCAATTGCTTTCGATGCTAACGGTTTTGTTATCAAGGACTCTCGGAACCATCGTCCACTGCTTCATGGACAACTTCATAATGGACTTTACCATATTCGCACAGCTTCGTCTCCTACACCGATAGCTCTCACGGCAACGTCTTCTACCTCTCGGCATTGGCATACTCGCCTTGGTCATCCCAACAAAGATGCCCCACAACGTTCTTTCTAGGCTTTTTCTGGAAATTAAATCTGTATCTAAATCTTTCTTTTGTGATTCTTGTAACCGGGCCAAGAGCTACAAATTAGTTTTTAATAACAGCACTTCCCTTACCACTGCACCTTTTGAACTCATTCATACTGACACATGGGGTCCGGCTCCACACCCGTCTTTGGATGGTCATCGCTACTACGTTTTATTTATTGATGACTTCACCCGGTTTTCTTGGCTGTATCTTCTTTTTGCCAAGAGCGATGTTTTCACAGCATTTAAACATTTTTGTAATATGATTAAGACTCAACATAACAAGATTCCCAAAATTCTTCGCTCTGACGGTGGCGGTGAATACACTAGCCACGCCTTTCGTTCATACCTCCACGAACACGGGATGCTACATCAACTCTCGTGTCCTCATACTCCTGAGCAGAATGGCCTCGCTGAACGTAAACACCGGCACCTACTTGACCTCACCCGTGCTCTTCTCCATGACTCCGGCATACATACAAAGTTCTGGTCGTATGCTATCACTACGGCTAACCATTTAATCAACCGCCTGCCGTCTAAAACCATTTCGAATCAAATTCCTTATCAGCTTCTTCACGAGATCTCTCCGTCTTATACTCACCTTCGCACCGTCGGCTGCTTGTGCTATCCTTGGCTGAAGCCGTACACTACGGACAAATTCACACCCCGCTCCTCACCTTGCGTCTTCATCGGTTATTCCTCACAGCAAAAAGGCTATATCTGTCACAATTACACTAACGGTCGCACTTATACCTCTAGGCATGTAGTGTTTTACGAAGAATCCTTTCCACTTAAAAATACCATGAACTCGCAATCTAAACCTGATCCCACTATCAACAATCCCACGCCACCTCTCCTTTTAATTCCCACAACTTCCATTTCATCCACACCCATGAACAACACAGCTCAACCTATGACTTCCGTCCCTCCGCAATCTGACCCTAGTTTGCTCAATTCTCCGCTGCACCCTACACTGAGATCTCCTATCCCCTCGGCCTCCACCCAGGGCATACTCACACAACCGCATTCACCGTCTTTACTGACTCGTGCTGTCCACCCGATGCAAACAAGGCTCAAATCTGGAATAATTAAACCAAAGCCTATTTTTAATCTCTTTGCTCCGACCACTTCACCAACCACACCAACCTCCTACATTCAAGCTCTCAAGACCACTCATTGGAGAACTGCTATGCAACAAGAATTCGACGCCCTACAACGGCAAGCCATCTGGACTCTTGTTTCCCCTCCACCCGATAAGCCAGTTCTAGGCTGTAAATGGGCATACAAAATCAAGCTCCTTCCCAGTGGTCAAGTCGACCGTTACAAAGCATGACTTGTGGCCCTCGGTTATGATCAACAGTTTGGGATAAACTACACCGAGACCTTTAGCCCTGTCGCCAAGATGCCGACCATCCGCCTCCTACTCACCCTGTCGCTCATCCGACATTGGCCCATGTATCAATTGGACATCTCCAACGCTTTTCTTCATGGCGATCTCCCCGACGACATCTACATGCGCCAACCGCCTGGATTCACCGACCCTGCTCAACCTCACGCGGTGTGCAAACTCCACAAATCTCTTTATGGGCTCAAACAAGCACCGCGGCAATGGTTTCAAACGTTAACTAGCTTTCTTCAGCAACAAGGATTCGGGTTTAGTCGTTCTGATCCCTCTCTTTTAATTTTTCATCGCAATCATATTCACATGTACTTACTTATCTATGTTGATGATTTCCTAGTGACCGGGAACGATGAGGCAGCAATCCGACACCTCCTTCAACAATTGCAATCTCAGTTTGCTCTCAAACAGCTGGGCACCATCTCTCTATTTCTCGGTATCCAGGTGACTCGCTCAAACTCCGGCTATTTTTTATCTCAAGAACACTATGCTACTAAACTTCTCAATGATGCAGGTTACAAAGATTGCAAAGCGGCTCCCACTCCTATCACGCCGAATTCAAAACAACCGGTTCATATCAGCCCGCCCTTCGCTGATCCGTCCCTCTACCGCCGGTTGGCTAGTTCGCTTCAGTATTTGTCCATAACCAGACCAGACATTGCCTTTGCAACCAATCGGGTGTGTCAGCACATGCAATCTCCCACCGATCAAGACTTCAAGGCTCTCAAACGGCTACTCCACTACATCAAAGGAACCCTTTCCTATGGTCTCCCGATCACTCCTGGCTCGTTTGAACTTCGCTCCTACTCGGATGCCGATTGGGCGTCTGATTCTACAGATCGGAAATCAGTCTTTGGGTACTGCACCTTTCTCGGTCCGAATATCATCTCATGGACTGTGAAAAAGCAGGCGACGGTGGCCAAATCCTCTACCGAAGCCAAATACCGGTCTCTTTCCGCAGCTGCTTCGGATGTCGTCTGGCTTCGTCGACTGTCTTCTGAACTCCAGCTTCCCCAGCACCAACCGACCACCATTCATTGCGACAACACCTCGGCCATGGCTATAGCTAAAAACCCGGTGTTCCATGCTCGCACAAAGCATATAGAGATTGACTACCATTTTATTCGTCAACAAATTGGAGCCGGCGTCATTCAGCTCGAGTACATTCCTTCTCAGGAACAAGTTGCTGATATTTTGACAAAGCCTTTTTCCATCACTCGGTTCCTTGAACTCAGGAGCAAATTAACCATTCGGACTCCGACTGCTTAATTTGAGGGAGGCTATTAGAAGACAAAATCTGTAACCTTAGTGTCTTGAAGTATATTTACATCTTTACCTTACTTTATGTCTATATAATAATGTCCTGTACGCTTTACCATGAATATAGAAAATATTATTTTGATTTCCTGTTTCTGGCGTTCTTGCTCGCTTCCCGAAACTTTCATTTCTCCTACAAACTCTTTCAAATACAAGCTCTGGGAAATTCAGTGTCTGGAGGAGGATCGGGAATGCAACAAGGGAGATTTTTGAATGCACCACAATCAATGTCCTTTCTTAAAATTCTGATCAATGTGGAAAATAGAATGGGAATCTGTTGAGCATCAGCAGCTGGAGATAGCTCCTTCTCTCACTCAGGTTGAATAGATCAATATATACAACAACAACAACATCAAACTTTTATCTCACTATTTGGGTTTGGCTATATGAATCATATTTTAACATTGTATCATGTAAAGAGTCAAATTCTCATAATATTTAGATCAATCTGTCTTGATAGAATATGTTGAGCCACCACCAGCTTTTGCACTCAGCTTTTCTCTGCACCAAACAGTGATGCCATGGCCAATATTGATTGAAACGGGCTCTACTATCTGATTTTGTTGGCTGATGGTAGTGAGGTGGAAGCGGAGATGAACGAAATGGACAAAACAGAATTGAAAGATAAAAACACAGGCAGTTCGTATTTAAGAACTCTGATTTTTTTTTTTTCTACAAGTCAATAATACTTCCAAGTTTATACATATAGCTATTTGGCAAGTTCTAGCACAAGCATGTACTAATAGCTTTTCAATGATCAAAATAACAATTTTTTTTTTCTTGATGACAGGAATGCAAGCCACCTCTACCACCAACTGCAGGTGCAATAAGAACCCCATCCACCAAAATAAGCTCATGTTCTTCATCACATCACCTTAGCCCTCTGTCCTCGTCCTTCCCCAGCCCTGTGCCTTCCTATCATGCCAGTCCAGCATCTTCTTCCTTCCCCAGTCCTTCCAGGCTTGAGAATTACACTACTCCAAGCATCAATCCCTCTCATCTCCTCCCTTTTCTTCGAAACCTCTCCTCTCTCCCGCCCCTTCGCATATCCAACAGCGCTCCGGTGACTCCTCCTCTCTCCTCCCCAACCTCTTCCAGGCCATTGAAGCTCAAGAGGCTGAACTGGGATTATGCCACCCATTATCACCCTATGTTTGCTGCTTCTGCCCCAGCCAGTCCGACTAGAGGCCATCATCAACCTCACCCAGCTACAATACCAGAATGTGGCGAGTCTGATGCTTCGACCATCGATTCCAGCCAATGGGTCAGCTTCCAAAATACGGCTCCGGGGTCGCCGACATTCAACCTGATAAACACGGCGGCCTCAGTGGAAGTGAGTGCTGTGGGTGGAGTAGGCATGGCAGAGTTTGAATTTGGGAGCCCAACGGTCAAGCCGTGGGAGGGGGAGAGGATTCATGAGATTGGTACTGAGGATCTGGAGCTCACATTGAGTCTCGGAAACACTGGAAGCAAATGAATGCTTGTTATATATGTAAATTTCTGATCTGAAAGGATTGGTCACAGTTCCAAATTCATTTTTTTACTCTTTGGAATGGACTTCTAATTCTTTCATTTCTTTGAGCTCAATTCATTCTTAATTGAGCCCAGTGTATGTTCTCATGTTTAAATCTCTGTAAATAATGGCAGGGATCATTACCTTCCTGTTTAATTCTACCCTTATGTATGGAACCAGCTGTTCTACATGTTGTAAGCTAAAGGTTTGCTAAATTAATGGCAGAACTGATCAGAATTTGTGGTTCTAAATGTTTAGCACAATCAGAAGAATGGTTCTGTCATGGGTTTGAATCATTAAGGGATTGTTTGTTTGAGTAATTTTAGTTGCTTTATTGCAGCAGAAATGTAGCCTTAGATGGTTTGGTCGCATAAAATGGCAGCCTTCTGATGACCCAATTAGGAAATTAGATGTATTAGATTTGACTTACGTTAAGAAAGATAGAGAGAGATCTAAAAAGATTTGGTTAGAAAATATTAAAAATGATTTTTGTTTAATGGATTTAGATGAGAATTTGACTATGAGAAAAAAGATTCATGTAGCCGATCCCGTATAGTGGGATAAAAGCTTCTTGTTGTTGTTGTTGTATTGCGGCAAAAATGTGCTGCAAAGTATGTGCACCTGGATTTGATTAAGAAAAATTCAAATATTGTGTTGTTTTTTTTAGAAATGATCTTTCTTAAGAAGATTATTAGATCTGACCTATGGTAGAGGTAGATCTAAAAAGACTTGGGTTGAAAGTATTAGAAATGATTTTTTTTATAAGATTTAAATGAGAATTTGACTCCTAATATGACATAATGGAGAAAAAGATTCATACAGTCGTGGTGAGATAATGACTTGATGTTGTTGTGTTGCAACCTCATAGAATTTTGAACTAATCTATTAAATAAATTTTAAACAACTTCATATATAACAAGTAGAGCCTAAATAAATTTTTATCGGTTTGGGTTAGGTGGACTCTGATTCGAACTTTTGATCTGAATAGCTTTCGAATCAGATTAAAGTTTAGATCGAACCAACATCAATCCAAATCCATTATATGACCCATGTTAGATTAGGTTCTAAAATCATATTTGAGGTTAATTTAAAAGCATATGAACTTATAAAATTAAGAGAATATAAACACTTTTTTTTATTTTTAGAGGGGTAGATTTTCTATTAAATCTTGTAATAAAAAATCAATTAAGATTAATTTTAAAATTTAATAAACTTGATCCTTGTGCTAAAAAATATTATTATATATTTTTAATTATTGGATCAAATTCCTAAGTATAATTAGCATTTATGTCACTAATAAAAAAACTTTTATAAAATCAAATTAAATAAATTATCTAAAACTCTACTAAACTATTATTTTACTAATCTTAAACATAATGCTTCATTAGTGCTATAAAGTATAAAGATATTGGCTTCATTCTTTAAAGTGCTTCTCCATCTAATATATATGACATGCATGCTACTTATAAACATTGTTAAGTATTCTACAAATTATTTTAATTGATAGTGATTTTAACAATAAAAAAAAGAGATAAATAGTATATAAAAATAATTAATTATTCATATATTATACTTTTTTAAAAATAAATTTAAATATTAAAAAAATCACCTTATTGAAAATTCCTTACTCAAATTAAAATAACAAATAAAACATATAATATCATTACTTTTAAATTTTGAGATGCCTCATAACTTAATGTGGCCACATCTTCCTAAAGATCCAAAAAAATAAAAAAAATAAAATATAAAAGCTTATTTAGGACTACGGGGAACATAATCCTAAAGATAAAAAAAAATAAAAAAATAAAATATAAAAGACTACGGGGAACATAAATTAATAAAAAAATATATTTTAGGAATCAAAGCAAAGCATAGAGAGATAAAGAGATTATACTTATAAAGGCCACATTTTGCCAAGTGATTACATTAATAACCATTCATTTAATGTAAACTTAATCATAATTAAGCATCAAATAATAATTTGTTAATCATGCTGAGGCTTTAGCTACTTAGGCCCTAAGCATCAAAAGAGCACTCTACTTTTGAGTAGTAGTTGATTTGTGGGGGTGACTTAGCTTTTTATGGGATGCTTCGAGGCATTTAGGGCCACCATTGTCAAGACAAGAGAGTCCTTGCTCTCAATTTAGGGCACCCTTTTTTATTATTTATTTATTTATTAAAATAAAATAGTGGCCTAAATCTAGATGGAAGAGCTCTTTTCTTTATGCTAAAAAGATAATTAAAAATTATATTTTATAATTATTTTTTGGATGATATTTGTGTACTATTCTTGCTTAAAACAAGGCATAAATTATGGCTATGTTTAAGGAATAATTAAAATTATTTGTGTTGTGTATAGAGTTGAATTTTAGTTAGAGTTGAAATAAAAATAAAAATAAAAGATCAAATTAAATGACATTAATACATTATTCAAAATAATGTTAGAAAATATTTTTGGTATAAATAAATAATGAGTTAAATTTAAAATTAATAGTGTTGTATAATGATATTATATAAATATCATATGATTTTGAGTAGATATCATTCAATTTTATTCATTTTTCTTAATTTTTTAATGAAAAAAATGTTGGATGAGCTCTGAAAGTTTTTTTTTTTTTCATAAAAAAATGTTGTTAGTGATATTCACATAATAAATATATGTTACATTTTTATGATTTTATATTTTTATATTTATCTTGAATTTTCTTTATTTTTTCTGCATGATTTTTTTATTCGTAATTTTGATTAATTTTTGCATTCTATATTATAAAAATTTGTAATCCTTTTTAGGTAAGGAATTTCATAGATGTATAAATATCTACAAATATATTAAATACTAAATAAACTAAATATGCTGTAATAAATAATTTTAATTCATGTAAAAAGTAATAATAATCTTCCATGTCACATCATCTACTTCTAATATATAAATCCCATTTGTATCATAACCTATCAGATCAATTTTTTTTAATCTTTTAATCAACATTATAAGATAGAAGAATAAAGTTTTGTTTGGGATGACTTTCTTACTGCTTCTTAAAGCAACTTTATGGTACAAATATTTTAACTTTTATACGTAAAAGCTGATTTAAAAAGAAGCAAAAAAACCGTCTCAAATAAAGTCTGAATCAAAATTCTCAAACATCTTAATATTCTTTTTCCGATCAGCAATCCCTTCTAAGTTTCATACCCAATATCCTTTAAAACACGTAATCCTTTCGTATTTATCACCTCTTACATCTCTTCATCTCCCATAAAAACTTTCAATATTCATTAGAGACGTACGTAAATCTCAAACATAATCGCTCAATCATAATGAAACCATCATAAAAGACTAAATAAGAGAGATTAAATTAGTCAAGCTTAATAAAAAGCATTCTTAATTAAAAAATTTAGTCCTCTAAGAGCTTATTTCTATCAGTATAATATAATATTAATCTAAATATTGTCACATATTTTAATAAAATGATCTCAAAAGCAATTATTTAAAAATTTTCTTATGGTACGTTCAGCCAGCTTGGAAATAAGTCCCGCACGCGTGCGAGCATCGATGAACGTGCATGGCCACGAATACATGCAAGTGGCCAACTTGTCAAGTCATATGGCCAGCTAATAAGCCTAATTAAGCAGCTAATTAAAGCATCTCATATATAATTAAAGGATTACCAATTCTTAATTAAGCAATTAAAAGGGGTTATTAGAGTGATTAAAGCCAAAACTAATCCAGATTAGCATTAGCGAGGGGTTGGAGGTTGGGAAACAGGAGAAGAGGGTGTCCCAGATAAGGATGCTATCCTATACTGTCATCCTTAATTACTTTAATTAATTAGGTTTTTATGGGGATTAGTCAAAGTAATCACTTTGGCATGTGAGGGAATCCTTCACGAGCCATGCGCATCGTCTTTCTTTTCTTTTATTCTCTCTTTCCTCTCATCCTACCATATATTTAACTCTCTCTCTCTCTCTCTCTCTCTCTATCTAGGTCTCTCTCTCTAGGATTCTCTTTCTCTCACTTTAGGCCTCGCTCTCTCTCTAGGACTTTCTTTCTCTACGTGCATGCTTAATTTGTGGGTGATTGAAGAAATAGTGTTGCTTAGTAAGTAAAACATTGCTAACTCTCTCTCTCTCTCAAATTTCTCTCTCTAATTAATGATCCTTATCCTCTAAAACTTGCAAAGAGAAAATTAATTAAGGCCTTGCTTAGTAGTACACAAAGGATTAATTTATGACTGTATTCGACCATGGAACATTTGTTAGAGCATCTCCAACCGAACGCCAAACGTCCGTATGGCGTCTTTCGGTCGCTCTAGCCGAATGTCAAATCTTCCGCCATTTACTTGGCCATTGTTCACCTACGCTATTTTGCTCTGTCAACCGGAAAAACGCGCGAAAGGAAGAAGGATTGTTACCTTCGTAGAAGTACTTAAAATGCAGTTCGATTGAAGCAGCACCACGACATTTTGAAATTTTGTTGTATTTTGTCGTGAAAAATGAAGTTCTCTATTGGAATGCCCTTACGGAGAGGGTGACGATTAACACGTGGTAGGTTAAGTTTATCTAATGTAATTTGTTTAATTAGAAGCTAGTACTTAATTAGCGATAATAAGGGATTAGTTGTCATTAGTTCATGTTTAGGAAGAAACTTCTCTCATTGAAAATGTGTTTTAAATGCTCCAAAAGTACTTAAAATGCAGTTCGATTGGAGCAGCACCACGACATTTTGGAGTTTTGCTGTATTTTGCCGTGAAAAATGAAGTTCTCCGGTGGAGTTGCCCTTACGGAGAGGGTGACGATTAACACGTGGTAGGTTAAGTTTATCTAATGTAATTTGTTTAATTAGAAGCTAGTACTTAATTAGCGATAATAAGGGATTAGTTGTCATTAGTTCATGTTTAGGAAGAAACTTCTCTCATTGAAAATGTGTTTTAAATGCTCCAATTAACGAATTTTCAACGTAATAATTAATCTTATTTAATTATTTATGATTAGCTTTAATTAAAAATGTATTGGTGTTTCCATTTGTTCATAATATTGTTCGTGCTTCATGAGGGGTTGGTTTTATTTATGTATTTGATAATTTAAATTATTTGATTTTTTTTTAACAATAGTCTATATGAATATATAGATGCATAGTTAAAAAAGGATAAAATCACATCATTTAATAGCAATGGTTCTTAAATCCATGCTACAAATATCTTTAGAAGCGGTTTAATAGGGGTATCAAAAAGGGTCTTCGAGTCGGGTTCGGGGC